GTCTTTGTTCCAGCATCGGTTATTTTTATTTGTTTGCCTGTTTGTTTTGGAGAAGTGTATCTTTTCTCATCCTACAGAAAAAACATCTTACTCATGAGCAAACAAAGAAGCTTCATTCTCATTTTCATCTTTCTTGTCTTAGTTTCCCTATGAATATATATATCATTTACTTATTGCTCACTGATGTGTATAATACCATGTCTTAACACATAATTTATTTAATTCATAGTATATATAAAATGCTTTTACAATTAGCTGTAAAGCAACTACCCTCATATTTATGCATTTCTTCACTATTTCCCTGTTTGATTCTCATATTTGTTGTTATCCACTGTTGAGTCCGTCCTTGACTCATGAAGATCCCTGCACAATCGATCAAAACTCTGCTAGATTGGTTGTTCATTTGTTGTCATTCACAGGTTTTTTTCATTGATTTTTTTTCCCAGTAGATCACCAGATCTTTTTACTTAGTCTGTCTTAGTTTGGAAGCTCTACCCAAACCTGTTCATCATCAGGTTTCTGAAAACATTTCGGGATATTTTCTGAAGACTTTCTATAGCAGCAGGCAAACCTCTACTAACCAAGGCATAGTGGCTGTTCTTCAAGCACATTGGGTGGGATTTACCTAGATGTTATGCACGGAAGGTAGAATTCTACCACTGAAATACCAGTTACTTCTTTACTTCTAACTAGACACGCTCTTCTTCTTTCCCCACAACTCCTGTGATTTTGTTTACCTTTCGGTAGATGAGTACTCAATTTCAATGACTAGCAATGTATTTCTTCTGACATATATTTTGAATGTATCCATCTCAAAGTACCTGAAATAGACACTGTAATCTTCCACATCTCTTATTCCCTCTCCATTTCCACTGTGCTAAAGATTTCCCTTTATTAACCATGAACTCTGTGCCAGCTATTTTATAGTAAATGCTTTTCTTCTTCAGTTTGTTGCTGTTATCTGCTGTTACCCAACTTAATCTGGGTAACAACTATTCATTGTTGATTTCTAGACGAAGCAACACTTCCTCTGGATCAGTTTCAAAATTATTTTAGCCACACGCACTCTCCTGTGATCCGATAGCAAACAGCACTCTTCACTATCTTAGCGATGAATTGTAGAATGTATTTGATAGAATCATGTTAGGGTCTTCCTCACTGATAGCCAAAATAACTGACACAGTATCTGTTATATGGTGAATATTTGAGGAATATTTTCTGAAAAACTTTACATATACTAATATACAAACAAACATAGACAAAGGTACTTATTCCTACTTGGAGTTTTATTCATAATGCTTTGATTTGCTTATCAGATTTCTGTCTCTTTAATTCTATTCTCCATAGTTTCTGGGACAGAGAACGAAAGACACAGACATTTTATGTGTCTTGTGCACTCATTTTTGCTGCTTTTCTTTTGAAGAAGATCTTGTTAAAAAATCAGTTAATATTGTTAATTGATGTACTCTTCTGCTTCTTTGTGTTACTTTTACTTTTGACAAAAGGTATTACTATCTTCTCTGAATTCAACAATATACTTTAAAAAGGAGAAGCACATATGGGGTTGTCCTGAATTAAGAGCAACGGGGTGACTGACAACTAGAAACAAGAACCATGAAGACTGCTGCAATGTGCTTACTCCTCTGAGATCTTGTTTCCTTATCTCGGAGGCAACATGTGTATCTCTGTGCCCTAAAATATTTTTAAAATACACAATATCACAAGATATTCAATAAAATAATTGGCGCACACATAACTGACTAAGCTCTGTTTTATTGACCAATAAATAAATTAAAAACTGAAAGAATTCAGGGATATATATATAAAATCACTGTGAGTTAAGCACTGGGCTGTGAACTGCAGTGAGATTAGGCTGTCTGCTTGTATAGAGGTTTGCTGTCTCTGTCCTATATAGTTGCTATGAGTTGGAGTCCAGTCAGCAGTGGATGTGTTTTGGTGGGCTAAATATACATACACACATGAAATCTATAACCTATCATTTACATATCTCATTTTTAATATAGATAGGTGAAAACATTTTATTCTCCAAAATATGGTCAAGGTTTTATTTAAAAGAAAATATTATAAATATTTAAAATTATATCATACTTACTTTTCTGTTCAATCAATCCAAAAGTTGTTTAAATATTGCAATTCTTAAAGCCATTTAGTTGCATATGGTAAGATGTGATGAAGGTTTTCAAGTAAAAGCCCCTTTACTTTTGCGCACGCGTTCACTCTCACAAGTTCTCTGAGCATGCACAGAGCCGTCTGTCATTGTTGTCAACAAATAACGGGCTTTTAGCATTCTAGACCTAAGATATAGTTTATTGACTATTGTAGCATTTAAAAGGAAAAATAATCATTGTATTGACAGTACCACGTTGGAAATTCTTCTATTTGCCAAGAATTGTTATAACAATTTCATAGGACAGACACAGATTTAACACAATGAACCTTGACTTTCTACTTTTATATTTGCTCTACCCACAAATAAATGAAGAAGCAAACAATCCCTGGTGAGTTACATTAGAAAGTCATTAATGACTCTTGGAGTCATTTCATTAGACAATAGCAAACCAAAGTCTCCTTGGGTTGAGTGTCCTAGGAGACAACAAGAAAATCAGATTATTTAGTTTACTTTGCTAGTTAAAAATAATTTTACCAAAGGAAAATGGCTATACAACAATATTCACAGTGTTTTCATAAGTAAAGTTAATAAATATTAAATTTATTAATATTATGTTTAGAAGAGTTGATCAATATTTTTTTAGATGTTGCTGTTATGCTTGATTTTGATTTTGGTGTTCTTGTTCCCAACTTCCTCAACTCTTATATCAATTTTTACTCACTTATGACAGAAATTGACATGATGCTATTTTGTTTCATTCCTTTTTTTCACTCCTACTTGATTTTTTTTTTGTTGCTTTACTTAGATATTACAAACCAAGCTATTTGTGTTGGTTTTACCATCATAAATAAAGATGAGCAGATAACATGATACACCTTCCAGTAAAAAGCTATGTATTGTTTTATAAAATGTATCTTATTTTTAGAATAATGATTGCTATTTGTATTATATTAAATTAACTTGATCAGTTACACTTTAAGTGTGCATCTTAAAACAGATGCAGAGTTCTTTGGTTCACTGATATTAACAGATGAATCTCTAGAGGCATATTGTCCTTTTGCTAGAATAGCAATAGAATGGACATATAGAATAAACACGTAGAATGCAACATAAAACTTGCACATGTTGTTGCCAGTTACTGCCAAGTTGATTCTGGCTCATGGGACCTTATATGTATAAAGTAGAACTGCGCCGTAGGAATTTCAACCCTGGAGCTATTTGAAACAAATTACTGGGTCTGTCTTCTGTGAAGACTCTGTGTGGGTTTGAACCCCTAACTTTTGAGCACTTATCTGTGTCACCCAAGGCCCCTTGTTTCCACATGTATTGATGCTAAGCAACTTCTATACTAGCTCAAAGAGCAAACACATGTATTTTTCCTAAACCTGTGCAAACTAACCAAAACAAAAGGATTATAGTCATTACAAATTTATGTGTGGAAAAGAAAAAATGGTGTAGAAAATGGGACTAACAGGTATAGCTCAATCAGTAAAATAGCAGGGAGTACATGTGGGTATAAGGGTCCTTGGATGGTGCATATAGTTAAATGCTCAAAGTGTGGAGGTTCAAACTCAACCAGGGGCTCCTCAGAAGACAGACAAGGTAATCTGTTTCACGTCGTTTCAGGCTGGAAAATCCTATTTTATGTAGAGCAGGTCGACATGAACCAGAATCAGTTCTGATAAAGTGAAGTTCAAATTGCTACATCTGTTTTCTGAGGAGCCCCTGGTTTACTCAAATATGGATAAAGTGAAGTTCAGAAAGCAGCAAAATGTGGAAACTACATATTGATAAGAACTTATGATGAACGGAGGTATATGACTAACTCCACAATCTGTACCTGAGTGTTCACACAAAAGCTTTCTGAACTTCGTTTTATCCATATTTGGAATAAGTATTTTTTAAAAAGCTTTAAAATATATCTAGGGGTGTGTGTGTGTGTGTGTGTGTGTGTGTGTGTGTGTGTGTGTGTTTGTGTGTAAAAGAGATGGGTTTTCTTCATTTCTTTTCTGGAGTTATCCAGATTATATTAAGTGATTAATTCTTAAAAAATAGTTTTATTGGAATGTATGCCACAGACCATACAATTTAATCATATTAAGAACATTTGTGCAATCATCATCACAATCAATTTCCAAACACCATTTACTCCATCCTCCCCTGCCATAACCCAAGGCTATTACTAAACCACTTTCTCTTACATCTACCAATCCTGGATTTTGTATGGAGAAAACC